AATAAAGTGAGAACGGTGCTGGGGAATTGGAGTAACTAAAGTTTTCAAGCCAATTCCCCATAAGAACTATATACAACAATGAATTAAATATGGCAAATAATAATACAAAAGAAAAATAAATTTAGAAATATATATAGAAATATAATAAACACATATATACACACATACTGTACATTAACAATTTGTATCACACACAATAGGTTTGATTTGATTATAGTAAGTAAACATTTGATATTAGGAATAGGTATCAAGGCAATTCTTTTTAATTCTTTTTATTAGAGATTTCCTAGGTAGTAATTTGTCTTGATTATCAAGAGAACTCCAGATTTTTATTCCAGAGAATTTTAATGAGTATTTTCCTGAGTTACTAGAAACAGATGGCAAATGAAAGTTATGGGTTGAATATCGAGTATAATGTTGATGTATTTCTGAAGAGTGTGTAAAATAATTAGAAAATGCTACTGGTAACCTATTATTAAAGTAATCGTACATAAAAGTACATTTTTGGGTGTAAACAATGTCTTTTACTTGAAGAATACCTAGTAATTTGTAGATAGGTGGAGCATGGGATCGAGGTTCAGAAAAAGTCATGACCCTGACAGCTTTGTTGTTTAAACAGCTTTGTTGTTTTTTTAGACGAGGCTTTCGCGCCATTCAGATCCGTCCCGCTGTTATTCGCTCCAGTTGGTGGCTCAAACACTGCTTTGGTCAACCATGTCATTGCCAAGCATCATGGGATAGAGGATACGTCACATTGTTTAATTGTATGCATGATGAGCAAATGTCGATCTCTTAATTTTGACAAGTTGGAAAAAATTTGCGAAGTCAATGACGTCACCAAAGACGAATATCCGCGCGACTTGACAGCGAAGGCTGGGTTCCAGTATTATCATCCGATGAGACAGCCTTTGGTTGTTAACAAGGGACGTAATTAGGTTGGTCTGAGATTTTTACTTTTGAAAACCTAAACAGAAAATGAGCTACATTTATTATAACAACTTAAATGTGAATTTATTAAATTTGAAGGTGCATGAATTAAATAAACATATTTATCTATCTTAATTAATAAGTAACTTTGTTTATTATTAAAAACATAATATAATAAAAATATGCAGTAATAACCCATTTATGTAATGGGTAATTGTGGTTAACTTATAAAATATTTTTAAAAAAACGTGTTTTAACAATGTAAATTTCTATAAACGATTTTAATTTAATGTAAAATGTAATTATTTTGATAGACAAATTTTTTTAACCGGCTTTTGAACTTTCATTTACGGTGACTCGACATATTAATACACACAAAATCCTTAATACATGAATCGCGAAAACAAAACGTTATGCTATATAAACAAACCATGAAACAAACCCGCGTGACCATTCGTGTCTACATATCTGACCTGGCGACTTACTCACGCCATCTCGCGCCATTGTATGTGTATGTCAATTGCTGACGTCATTAGAAATGCCAATTTTTGAAAAACAGTGCGCTTAATATCTCATTATTTCGTGCGGTTATTTATGTCACCGTCCTTCTTTCCCAACTACACAAAGCGACAGGCTCATTTAGAGTGAATTTCTTACACATGCATGTGTTGCCATAGAACGAACTATGAGTCTATCACCTGTACTCTAAAAGCTCACTCACGCTCACACTCAAAGAGTGGAGGTTCAATCTGAGCTTGAGCGTCAACTGCTGTTTTTGAATAGCTGGAGGGTGAGTAGTCGCATCGTAAGGTACGACACTAACCATCCAGCTATTTAAAAACAGCACTGGCACTCAAGGGTAGCTCAGATTGAACCTCCACTCTTTGAGTATGAGCGTGAGTGAGCTTTTAGAATACAGGCATATGTGTTACCAAAACTGAAATAAATTGAAAGAAGAATCATTAAAATAGATATCTGACCATCTTGATATCCGCTGCAAAGCACCTAAAAGTACGACGTTCACAACTGTCAAACCATTATACACCTGCCGTTTTGAGAACTTTATCGAGCCACCTTAAGCCTAGTGATTTATCTCGAGACATTAAAATCATCCCGCCTTCCATCCCGTTCCGGTAAAACAGACCCTAGGTGACGTATCATGCATAAATTATACAATACTCAATAGGCTAATGGGTGATTCCAGCTATAGACTAAATTTTGATCAAGGCAAGAAGAACGAAATCCAACACCACAACTAGAAAGAGCGTCTTAGAATGAGTAAAACTGCAAAGACTGGTTGCTAAATGTTGTAAAATGAAGAAAATATTGCCCTGTGAAGTTCGCAAATTTTGTATACTTTTGCATTACGCGCGGGACAACAATTCGCAACCAAACTTTGCATTTTACTCATTTTAAGACGCTCTTTCTAGCTGTGGTGACATTTTGAGAATCCCGCGAAAATCCCGCGAAGGCATTTTAACTTCTCGTGCAGGATATTGACCAATCAAATTGCCTGTTACACTGTAGTTATTATATAAAACTTAATTCGCTGGCGGAGGAATGCAGTCTTCGAGTTGCCCTCTAATATTTTTATTAAAGGACATTGGCAATAAAAATCAGTCCTAGTTTGATTAATTCAAAAGAACTCTTAAAATTATATATTAAACTCTATTACCGATTTGTCATATCTTGCTATAGTTCTCGAAATATTTAGGCCGAAATTAATAAGCGATCCGCCATCTTGGACTAATTCTCTTATTCTCTTAAACTGGTGTGCAGATTTTTTGAAAAGTCATTTTCAGCGTACAAAAATAGGACACGCGAAGTCATCTTTGGAAAGTTATACAAGCTGGAGTCCCTCGAGGTACCAGATTGGGACCTCTCCTATTTCTTGTAATGGTAAACGATTTGTCACCAGTTTTGCCTATGTATAAATTAATCGATGATTGCACATCTTCTGAGATTGTTTCCCTCGGACAAAATTCAGTGATGCAGAACGACGTTGACTATATTAGTGAATGGACAACTACAAACAATATGCGCATTTATAATGTGAAGAAAACTAAGGAATTCAGAGTTTCGTTTTTGAAATCAGAACCACAAATGGAACCGTTGATAATTAACCACCAACCTATTGAAGTAGTCAAGTCCACAAAACTCTTGGGTCTTAATCTGAGAAGGATAATCTGACGTGGAGAAGATTTGTTCTAAAGCCAGTAAACGGCTTTACGCATTACGCAGGCCCGGAGCTAGGGGGGGGGGGGGGTGACACCCCCCCAGTAATTGTATTCAGTCGGCAGGACTGCTATTCAGTCGGTAGGAATGCTATTCAGTCGGTAGAACTGCTATTTGGGTTAAATATTTTTGGCGCAAAGGGCAAGAACGTGGTGGGAATTTTAGGAAAATTTTGAGGAAAAATGTAAAAATTTTGGAAAAATGTAAAAAAATGTTGAAAATTTGTTATGTGCGGAAAATTTTTGAATGTTCCGGAAAATTTTTGTACGTCCGGAAAAATTTTTGGACCCCTAAAATGGTACACTGACCGAAATGTTTTTGGCGACGGGGGGGTCGACAAAACATTTTTGCACACCTTATTACACCCCCCCCCCCTGAAGAATTTCCTGAGGACGGCCCTGGCATTACGTACGCTCAAACGTAGTGGTGTACCAGCGAAAGGTCTACGAACGATCTACTGCTCTTTTATTCGCCCAGTTATGGAGTACGCATGCCCTGTTTGGCATTCTTCACTAACTATGGAGTTACAAAAAGAGATCGAACACGTACAGCGAAGAGCACTGAGAATAATAATTCCATATATGTCTTACGAAGATGCTTTAAGTCATCTTCATCTTGAATTGCTAAGAGATAGAAGAGAATTACTTACTAAATCGTTCTATCGCTCTGTCTGGACAACAAATTGAATGACTTGATTCCTACTGTTGTAAATCATTTTTACTCTCTTAGGAACCCAAGAAATATCCCAATGTTTAAAAGTCGAACAAACAGGTTTAAGAACAGTACTATACCATATAGTGTTCAAAAGTGGGACACTGTGCCATAGTTTTTTACTAATATGTCTTAGTTAAATAGTTCTTAAATCTCTATATTATCTCATGACTGTCTTTAATTATTATTATTGTAATTATTTTAACTTGAGTATTTCAAAATTTGTATTAATTTTGCAATTCAGGTTTTTTACAAATATAAAATTCAAATTCAAAATTCTGGACCTCATTAACTCTCGCTCATTAACTATGGTTTTGATGACGTTAGGAGTTGGGTTAACCATATAAACTACTCTAAAATGACCGAGTAACAATGCAAAATTGTTTGAAATGTTTTTAATTATTTCTAAATTTCAAACAGCAACCAGAAATGAAGTTTTGGACCCATATTACTCCTTTACTCTCAAGATAAAAAATTAGCGTGACCACTCTCTTGACGTAACATGCGTATCCTCAATAATCCTACATGGCGAACAGCTCACTTTTTTCAGTCGAAATATTTTGAAAACTAAGCAAGATGTAAACAATCTGTAATAGCTAGAATTTAATATTTAACTTCTTGTTAACCGAGCGCGAGGTCTTTAAAGAGAAATATTGGACCGAGGTATTTTTTGTACAGACCGAAGGCCGTAGGGCGAGGTTTGTACAAAAAGGCCGAGGTCCGATATTCCTCTGTGAAGACCGAGCAAGCGAGGTTAATAAAAATGTATTATATGGCATTTATAGGCATTTGGTCGAAAAAAACAAAAATTACCTTCCCACTTAAAACCATTCGCAGACACTTTATTAATAACAAATTAAATTTTAATTTTCAATTAGTTTTGCTGTTTTGTTTTAAAATACATGCGTTTGTTTTTACGTAATGGAACGCTGGTCCATCACGGGGAAATAATGGCCGGCGAAAGTGCTTCTCAGCCAATCACAGTCCGCCATTTCACCGGAAGTGATGCTTGCCATATAATAAATAGTTTTAAGAGTCAGATGAACTAAACTAATTTTTTATTGCCCCAATAAAGTTGTTAAAAAATCTCACGGGATGAAATCAACTGGGCAAAGCGAGCTAGCTAACTCATAAATTGTTTTTGTGTTCATAAATTGTTTTTGTGCGCAACCCGACAATGTTTTCTTTTGAGGTTAACTGGTTGTAGTTTTATTTTTGATTGACATACAGCGTCGCCTGGTGAAATCAATGCATTCAACATACAAACGCCATGCAAGCTTGACTAACAAGTTTTGAATGTTATGATCTCTGGATTGGATGAATTTTTCGAAAATGGAATCGTGCTGGTACGCTGCACTGTTAATGGTGAGACGTACTGTTACTATTTTAATTTAATAGACAATCCCCATTATAGACTAATTTTAAAACTAGGCAAGGAGATGCAAATAAGGTGACCGCATCTAGAAAGAGCATACTATAAAATGAGTAAAATTGCAAAGTTTGGTTGCGAAATGTTGTAAAATGCGGAAAATATAGCATTGCAAAGTTTGCAAATTTTGTATATACTGTACTTAATTTGTATTGCGTGCGGAAATTGTTACCATTTTCGGCCCAAATGTGGTATAGCAATTATAAAAATATACGCTATACAAAACCCGCATTTTACAACATTTCGCAACCAAACTTTGCAACTGGGAATATACTTTTTTTTCCAAGATAGTCTATATAATGGGAATTGTCTATTAATGAAAGTTTTTAAAATTTATAACTACTAGTACAGTAGTAGTCTAGTACTATATATCACAAATCTGAAGAAAAATTTGAAAGCGGATTTCAAACGAAATGATTTGAAATTTTCATTTTGTTCGAGAGTTGAAATTAATGTTCGTATTTGAATAGAATGCTGACGTGATTCTTTTTATTCTTAGGTTTTGCTTCCGTACGGAACTCTGCCTGTATTTTCAAGTAAGTGCATGCACTGTTGCATTTCGAGAGATGAAACATTTATTTTTTTATTCTACTGGGGCTGGTTGTTCAAAGCTAGATTAGCGCTAACCCTGGGTTCAAATTTAACCTTAAAAAACAAGCAGAAACTCGACGTTTCGCGCGAAGGCCCTTCGTCAAGAGTTAGTATAGTAGTAGTTTGGCTACTAACTCTTGACGAAGGGCCTTCGCTCGAAACGTCGAGTTCCTGCTTGTTTTTTAAGGTAGTAATATAACCACTCAGCACAGCATTTTCACATTGGTACTACCTTCACTGGTACAGACAGTTTTAGTATAAAATTTAACGTGCTATTTTAGTTTCTGTATTTCTACACATCTATTTGTTTCAAAACGTCATAGAAGAGAACTCTCACGGATCCACACAAGAATTATGAGGAAATCTTTCCAAGTTTATATAAGTTTCTGTTGGGAAGTTTGCTTTGAGTTTTAGGTTAACCTTAACCTGCGAACAGGCTCTCAAAAAGGTTAACCTCTAGAGTTAAGCTAATCGGCTTTTGAACAACCGGCCCCTGTATAGTCTACTGTAGAAAGCTTTATCATTTCCTAATTGTTGATTAGAAGTCAACATGGGCCCTCCCTCATTGGCCATTGCTACTACTGAGTACTGGACAATAATAATGATTCATTACGTTAGTTTCGTCCTTTTTAACAATCCTATATAAAAAATGTAACCAATTTGAGCGAGACTTATACAGTAGAGCAAGTCCAGAGGAGTATAGAGCCCAGTAAAGAACGCTAGCGTCGATTTCAGGCTATAGCTAGATGCCAAAATGTTGATTATTTAGTCCTACCAGAAATATATGCATGCAGCAACCACTCTCATTTTCAAACCGAACAACAGTTAGTATTAAATATTAATAGGTAATTCCCATCATCATTTAAACATCAGCCGAAATTTAATAAAAATGTATAACTTTAAAGCCGGTTACAGACGAACGAGTTTTTTATGACAAGTTTTTATGTGACAAGTTTTATTTGCTCGTCTGTACGCGCTAGCTTTTGAACAAGTGCACTTGTCATAGAAAAATTGTCAAAGTACAAATTTTGTTCGTCTGTATGGGCCAACAGAGAAAACTTGTCACATAAAAACTTGTCGTAGAAAACTTGCTCGTTTCCAGCCCGGTTGCAAACCATCTATAATATCCAGCCTTTAATTGATCCTATATAGTATTGCAAGATCTAGAGAAAGAACGCTAACTATTAAACTAACTTTTTGGAACTTGTTGCATTTAGGTTCGATGGGCAATCTTGCTTTACATAAACCAATGAAAGCATCAGAGTTTTATAGATCAGGCTCTCAAGGTACACAAGCTAACAATGGCGATGTTGCTGACCCAATCGGACATTATGCATCACATTCGAGTGTGAAGGACCCTTTCTGGCGAGTGGACCTACTCGACTTTTATCTTGTCACAACGGTTGAAATTGTAACTCGTTTAGATGGCTTCTCTCACGAAAATGACGAAATGGAAGTTCGAGTTGGTAAGTCCGGTTTTAGAAAGGTTGGATTACGCTATTCACAGAATAGTAATTTTTTGAAATAGCGACAATTGAAACGTAGACGGATTTCCAGCAGTTTTAGTTCGGGGGGGTTCGAAAATTCGAGGGGATGTAGCTCGAACAATAGGAGAAATTGGAAGTTGCTACTCAGTGGTGGATTGGGCAGAAATACAATACACACGTGTCGCTGAAGGACCAGATTTATTAATAAACGTTGTCGACTAACATAGATAATGAGTTATATTGTTATTCTAATGATTTCACAGCCATCTTCCCTTAGATAGGCTATGTTTAGTTCAAAATTCTTATTTTAATATAATCGTACTGCTGTCATTTTAATCTAATAAGCATTCGAATTCCTGGGGAGTGTAAAAATTACTCTACGTGAGATAAAGGGCTGCAAATATTTTTTGGGCACCCCTGCACCGCCCACCAAAAAATCCGTCTGGCCAACGACAGAAACAAAAACAACTAAACGACGAAACAGCAACAGTATGTAACTACTTAACAACTAAAGCTGGAGTTACACGAGCAACAACATTGCTGCAACTTGCAACAAAATCTGATTTCAACGCATGTTAAGTAGAAATGTCGACACATGTTGCCTTGTGATTTGTAATTTATGTGTATAAACATTTTCAATTAACATGCGTTGAAATAAGATTTTGCTGCAAGTTGCAGCAATTTTGTTGCTATACCTTAAAGAGCAACAACTAAAACACAGCCGCAACAACGACAACAGCTAAAAATAAAAACAAAGTCCCCTTCCAATATTTCCATCTTTTGATGAAATGTTTTTGTATACCACTTCACAGGAAACAGTTTAGAGAACGAGGGGAATTCAAATCCACTATGCGGTGAACCTAAGGATTTAAGTAACTTGCCCAGTCATGTATATCGCTGTGAACTCTACGGAAGATATGTAAATGTAAAGAAATCGGAGATTCCAACCGTTTATATTTTATCATTGCAAGAAGTTTTTGTTAATAAAGAACCGACAAGTAAGTACTTCACTAAAACTAAACCAAGCTAAACAAACTATTTTGTACTTTATTGCTCCGTTAGTTTTAAACTACTCTCCCTATTAAAGGACAATAGCTCATTAGAAAGAACGTTTAAAATTATCTATAAAATCTTCTTACATATTTTTTTATGTCAAGCTTAACTCTTGAAATATTTTGACTGAAAGCAATGAGCCGTCCGCCATCTTGGACCAAGTTTCTGTTTTCTACGTAATGCAGTTTCTTTTTATTGGGGGTAATACTAATACGAGAGAGTTCATGCCAATCTGGATAGCCGTGCAATCTGCACGATATTAATCATAAGTAATCGATTAATGTTTAACTATAATTAGTAATAGAAATACAGTCGAACCTCTATTAAGCGGCCCTCCATTAAGCGGCCACCCTCTATTAAACGGCCACATATCAAAGTCCCGAAATTTTTGTAATACAAATACTATAAACTATCCGATCCCTCTATTAAACGGCCACCTCTATTAAGCGGCCGCGGCTATCCAAAACCCAGCGGGCAAAATGACGTTTATCCAACGTTGAATCAACGTTGGCAATGACCTTCCAGACGTTGGATAGACGTTGAAAAAGGGTTGACTATGCAAATTGGATAGACATTAATGTTTCGACGTTGAAACAACGTTGAAATTAGGTTGCCAATCTCGTCAACCATAATTCAACGTTGAATCCACGTTAAAACAACGTTGAGATTGGTTCACAAATCGACGTCGTACATTTAACCATGAATGAACGTTAATTCAACGTCTGTTGGCTGCGGTTGAACAAATGTTTGTAAAACAACGTCAGAGCAACGTAGATATTAGTTTGTCGACGTCGTAACCTTTTTTCTACCAAATTTCAACGTTGAAACAACGTCGTGTGCCCGGTGGGAAGGCGGTCCCAAATGATGTTTTATGTCAATTTTTACCTCTATCAAGCGGCCAGCCTGCAGGATTTTTAGGTTTAGATATAGGTAATGAGAACCATATTGGTGTCCTAGTAATAAATTTATGCCACAATATAGTCCCTAAATGTTTGTTCGAAAGGTTTAGTGTGAAATATAATAGTGTGATGTCCTCGTGTTGTTGGCACAATGTATGCCTGTGAAAAAAATGTTATAGTAGATGAAACTAAGAATTAAAGATAAAATCACTATTGTATTCTGTGATTTATAATTAAAATTGGCCATTTGACTACGCCCAGGGTCTATTATTTGCGTACCTCTATTTAGCGGCCACCTCTATTAAGCGGCCACAAAGCCGATCCCCGAGCGTGGCCGCTTAATAGAGGTTCGACTGTATACTCAGTATATTTATGTGAACTATAATCTATATATGGTATAGCGAAATGACCGTGGCTACTTGTTAAATGTGCAGTCCACACTATTTGCAGGTTTTAAACATCTCTGCGATAAACGCCAGAATTGCAGGATCCGTGCTGGTTATAAAACTATCAGAGTTATTGACAAAAACCTGACCCAAAACAAACACTAACTGGTGATGGCGCGACGCACATTACGGTCGAAATTATATCGCATTTTTTTCTCAATATATTTTGACCAAAAACAAATTTGACCAAATTTCAATATTTGTGAAAGACGGTGTATTTTTTAGGTGTTAGTTTTTTTTTAAAACAAATCTAACTTAATTTCTATCAGATAGCACAATCAGTTTTAAACTCTTCTCTTCAGAGCAAGGGCATCCTTTATTAGTCCAGTTTAACTACTGGAGAAAACGGAAGTACCTAAGAAAACCATCCTCGTCCCCAGGGCCTCTCGCATCCTCTCTAGGCCCTGGGACACACGGAACCGGAAGTGCAGGAAAACTTGCAGTAGTTTCTAAAGCGCATTCTCTTGAATTGGGACGCTTTAGCACCCGTAAAAATTTTCACAGTGAAGTATTACGAAGAAACGAAGTGTTTGTGTTGACATATTTTGATAGGATAATTTTGCCTAGCGAAAACTGGTCAACTTCTGCGAAATAGTAGCTCTGTGAGAAGCCAATCATATCTCTCCCTCTCCCTTTAGTCTAATTTTCAACAAACTGCTCCTGTTTAGATGTTAAGGTGCAGTTACACGAGCAACAAAATTGCTGCAACTTGCAACAAAATCTGATTTCAACGCATGTTAATTGAAAATGTATACACATAAATTTCAAATCACAAGGCAACATGTGTCGACATTTCTACTTAACATGCGTTGAAATCAGATTTTGTTGCAAGTTGCAGCAATTTTGTTGCTCGTGTAACTCCAGCTTTAAACTATATAGTGTTTCCTTCAAAGTTTTCATCCCTAAAATACCCGGAACAATTTGCCGTTTCGTTGAGCGAGATTTCAAAAATATCGTCCAGTTTTGCAGGGCGAACAATTTTCGACGGTGTTGAACTGATTTGAATGAATCTTTAATTGCTGTCTGCTTTTCTTTTCAAGCAAACGTTGCTTTTGGCAAAACCACATTCCACAGCTCAATGCATCAAGTGGCCACCGGCTCTGACAAGGCGGTAGATGGAACAGTTATGCACTTTAATTCAAAATCTGGTTATTTTCCACATTGGTGGATGATTGATTTGGGAGAGACCATAGCCATTGTGAAAATATTTCTCGTGCATATACACAAGATTGACAGATTGACCAAGATGATTGTAACTATTGGTATGTATGATTGGGCCCGGTGCCACTTGATTATAGTTTTATTTATATATTTATTCTCTTAATAAACAGTGGTGGGAAGTAGCAAAGTAGTTGTAGTTCGTTCCGTACTGTAGCGAATTACAATTTTCAAGTAGTGAGTAGTTTTGACTACTTTTTTAAAACAGTAGTTGTAGCTGTAGTTGTAGCTAGCATTTTTTCAGTAGCGAAGTAATTGATTCCTAGTATTTCAAGCAACAACTGCTATTCGCTACTTTTCAAATTTCGCATAATTTGAAATCGACGCATAAACAAAATATGGTGCCGCACCAAATCTCACCACCAAGAACGTCAGAGTAATTTGATAAGGCTTTCTTATACATAGCCAGCGCTCAATCTTCTAACCTTGTTGTAACACTGTATACAGTAACTCAGGGGATAAGTTAGCCAGCGATTAGCTAGCCGAGTTCTCCAATAACTTGCCCGAGGTTGTGTTCATACACAAGTACGGACCATCTTTCAAGATGATCCACATGCATGCAGCGTTTATGTCAGTGACAGTGGTTGATATACTACTTTCCTTTTGCTCAAGTTTGTGTCAAAATTTGAAATACTCAATAAGAAAAGTTAACGAGTAGAGAATGCCGTTTAGTTTAGCTCTACTGTAGTACGTACACTGTTTTTTGCCGCTTGATGTATTTAGTTTTAATTTTGTTTCATTTTAGGTGACAGTTCAACCGACCATGGCAAGGATAACCCGCGAATGGGTGGTATACATGATTTTAGCAAAAGCCAAACAACCACTCTGTATAATAATCCCCGTATGTCTGGTCGTTATGCGACTATTGAATCATTAAGAGATGAGCAAATTGCCTTTATGGAAATTGAGTTATATTCGGAGTCGATGCGTAAGTATTTGAAACTTGGTTAGATTGTTCCGCACAATATGACGTGTCAAAGTGGTTTGTGTGCGTGCTTTTCATGCCGTTTTCTGGTTATATATGTTTTCCTCAATCTCATGCAAGAGAAGTGTACTTCCAGTTTGACTCTGCAGTGTATCCCAGGTATTCCACGGGTATTCTGGTCTCTTCCTGTAGTAACGCTGGACCAGCAATGGATGGCCTTTTGACCATGTAGTGAGAACAGTTTAGAACTTACGAACGAATATAAGCCCAGGGCGTATATTCGGAGGTTTACGGTAGAAATATAGAGTAAATGAAAAGAATGAAGCAAGCAAGCAAGGGAGCATTGCAAGCGGAATGAGAGAGGTTGAAACGTATAGGAGGGAAAGTATGGACATACAGAATAAAAGAAGGTAGGATGGATGGATGGATGGATGGATGAATGGATAAATGAGAGGAAGGATGGCTAGATTGGAGAAAGGAAATGAGTAAGATGAGATGGAGATTGAGGTAGAGAGGTAGAAATGATAGAAGGAATGAAGGATAAAGGGATGAATGGATTAATAGACAATTCCAGCTATCGACCAATTTTTTATCTAGGCAAGAAAGACGAAATATATCATTATAGCTCAAAAGAGCATCCTAAAATTAGTAAAATTGCAAAATTTGGTTGCGAAATGTTGTAAAATACGAAAAATATAGCCATATGAAATTAGAAAAATTTGAGTATTTTAGTGTTACGCACGGTAAAAATAACCATGCACTTTCGACTCAAAAAATGGTTATTTTTACCGCGCGTAATACTAAAATACTCAAAATTTGCTAATTTCACAGGGCTATATTTTCCGTAATTTACAACATTCGCAACCAAAATTTCCAATTTTACTAATTTTAGGATGCTCTTTTGAGCTATAATGATATATTTCGTTTTTCTTGTCTAGATAAAAAATTAGTCGATAGCTGGAATAATTGTCTATTGAAGGATGGATGGGTAAATGGAAGAAAGCATAGAATTAAGGAAGGATGGAAGAAAGAAATGAAAGAAGGAATACAGAAAGGAAGGATGGATGGCGTTTTTGTACGAGAAAGTTTTCGGACAGTAGTGAAGAAAGTATAGTTAACATAAAAACTGCATCAAAATGTTTTCTGCATACAGCATTTATCGAAGAAAGAACTCATGGTCTCGGCTCGTATTCTGTTGCACTTTACAATGGCTACCAAAATGTCCTACCATGTCATTCGTATGGTTATCCAGCACCCTATATAGCATGGGTGAGTAATGGAGTGGTATTACAGAATAGAACCAGTGACCAAGACACTAATCTTGTGGTTATCGCAAATGGAACGAAGGGAACAACAACGGACTATGGATGTTGGGCGAGCAATAATCATGGCAAAGATCTTTATTCTATCACAGCTACTCATACAGGTCCTTATGACATGTGTATAAAACCTGAAGAGGTGAGAGATCCAAGCAGAAACAGATTTTCAAAACAAGATACAACGAAAGAAATACAAAATGATAAAGATTCCTTTGATGCAAGTAAAATGTACAGTTTTTTTAACCCGCTGAGCAGCCTGTATATGAAGGTACTGGTTGAACTGTTTTATGTCAAGTGTAACGAATTTATTTCTGGTGTTCGTAAGAAGTCTGATGCTTTGCTTACATATTAAAGAGCGTTTTTGGCAACGCGTACGCCAACCGGCAGTCAATCGAGCTATTATCGATGGCCAGTGTGGCGTCAGCAGTTCTTGCTGGAAATCAAGAAGACAGTCAATGTCGGCCGTAGTTAAAAAATTCATGTTCGTGATTTCACACAAGAACGGCTGTCACCGTCACTCCCATGCAACAGCCCGATTGACTTTAAAATAATAAACATAGTATAATACTGTAATGTAATTATCGTCACTAGTCTAAGCTGTTGTCCAATAATAAGCCCACGGAGGGGCTTATATTCGGAGGAGAGGGGGCTTATATTCGAGAGGCCTACTTTGGGAGCCAAGGTCGCATAATTTCGCCCATGCATGTGCACCCAATTTTTGAACTTTTCCTAACCGTCTATTGGCTTAGTGTCGCCTAATGTCGCCCAGTTTCGCCCAGCGACGCACACTACTTTTCTTTGAAAATTGCCAATGTCGCACGATGTTGCACATAATAACGGCGACCTTGGCCCCCAAAACAGGCCTTTTGAGCGTTAATGAATACGTTATAAACGGAGGTGCTTATATTCAGGTGGGCTTATATTCGGAGGTTTGCAGCATGCCCCGTAATAAACGCTTTCTCGTTTATTGTATATCACTCCTATCGTTTTCCAGCTTGCCACATCATGCCCACCTACTTCGTCTTGTGGCACAGGTGCCCCAGGCTGGCTGCCTGATGGACATCCTAAACCTGAGGACGGCATGGTAAGAAGAAAAGTTTGCTTCCACTACGATGGAAATTGTTGTTATAAAGCTCTCTACGTTGATGTCATTAACTGCCCAGGAATGTATGTCTATGGTCTGGTGAACACTGTGTTTCTTTTCGCTGCCAGATATTGCTTCGAGGATGATAAAAAAAGTAAGTCTTCGCTTCTATGTTAAAGTGCTTATGCTGTTATGCAACGAAAGTTCACATCATTTTTTTATGATTGCATTATAAAGGCCGACACGCACCAGACGCAATTCGACAACGCGATTTTTCGATTTTCACTGACCGATAACTTTGATCCTGGTTCAAGTTTTTCAAATATTTAGAAGCGCTATAACATCTTGAATTATTTGGTCTACATATCTTTTAAAATTTCATTTTATGATTGGTCAGATACTTTGCCAAATTATCTTAGCGGGGTGGGTGACGCCAACGCGTTGATCGAAGGCCAACCGGCAAATGAGTGATCCTTTTGTTTTCACAGTGCTTTGAGACAATGAAATCGTGACCCAATACCTGCAGTAGTCATTAATTTGACTAATAGTCTGATTATTTTCAGGGACGCCGGAACTGGGGGGCAGGGGGGGGCGGCTGCCCCCCTTGCCTTTTGCTAGGGGGGCAGGGGGGCAGAAGTGCCCTTTTAGTCGTAAAATACTACGTGATAAATCACATTTCCAATTATGCTTTTTCTGGGAAAATCATGAGATTCAGGTAATTTATAGGCCCAGAGAAAGTGAATTAACAAAAATAATTGTGAATTTGGTAAAGAATGAGTTTAATTTACAAAAATTTTTTAACTTAATGGAAAATTTTGGTATGTCGGGAAAAAATTTTTGACCCCTAAAATGGTACACTGACCGAAATTTTTTTGGCGAGGGGAGGTCGCCCAAAAAATTTCCATGAAAAAAAATTTTTCGGTATATTTTGAACTTTTGCTCTATAGAGGTGCTCTTGGTGTGCGTCTGCCCCCCTTTGCCTTATTATCGTTGCGGCGTCCCTGATTATTTTGGTATGAGTCATCCAAAAACAGAGTCATCATTACCCGTGAGCGGAGTGAGCATTATTTTAGAAAATAAACTTGAAATAAAAAATCTTGTCGGTGAATTTTCCTGTCGGCCTAATGTCTTGCCGGCCAAGTGTCCTGTCGGCTAAATGTCTGTCGGTGAAAGGCCCTGTCGGTCAAACGTCTGTCGGTTTAGTGTCTGTCGGCCAAACGTCCGGTCTCTGTAAATTATCCTCTATGATGGAAAACAATTCAGAACTGATGGAGATGTTCAGTGTAAACAATATTAGCAAGGTATCTGCAAAGAGAGGCTTGACTCTAATGTGTTTTACCTTCATCTTTTTAGACGAGGCTTTCGCGCCATTCCGATCCGTCCCGCTGTTATTCGCTCCAGTTGGTGGTTCAAACACTGCTTTGGTCAACCATGTCATTGTAAAGCATCATGGGATAGAGGATACCTCACAGTGTTTAATTGTATGCATGATGAGCAAATGTCGATCTCTTAATTTCGACAAGTTGGAAAAAATTTGCGAAGTCAATGACGTCACCAAAGATGAGTATCCGCGCGACTTGACTGCGAAGGCTGGGTTCCAGTATTATCATCCGATGAGACAGCCCTTGGTTGTTAACAAGGGACGTAATTAGGTTGGTCTGAGCTTTTTACTTTTGAAAACTTAAACAGAAAATGAGCTACATTTATTATAACACCTTAAATGTGAATTTATTAAATTTGAAGGTGCATGAATTACTGAAATAAACATATTGATCTATCTTAATTAATAAGTAACTTTGTTTATTATTAAAAACATAATATAATAAAAATATGCAGTAATGTAATTGTGGTTAACTTATAAAATCTTAAAAAAAGTGTTTTAACCACTGGGGAAAAAATGTGAAATCCATACCATGAAATTTGCAATTGCACCACCAAATCCATAGTATATATCCTTACTATGTCGATACTATATCCATAGTATGGAAATATACAATTATTATGGATAACCAAAATCCATTCTATTGCCAATGAAAGTCTAGCCTGCGTGCAGGCCCAAGGAAACTGATATCAGTTCCCTTGGGCATGCACGCAGGCTAATGAAAGTCCATACAATTTCCATTCTATGACCTTCTATGGATTTTTAAAATTTTTCCAGTGAACAATGTAAATTTCTATATAAACGATTTTAATTTAATGTAAAATTTAATATCTGACCTGACATGGCGACTTGCTCACGCCATCTCGCGCCATTGTACGTGTACATGTATGTCAATTGCTGACGTCATTAGAAATGCCAATTTTTGAAAAACATTGCGCTATATTTAAAGTTTGTTCGTTCACTGCAACCAGGTATATCAACCAGTCGACTGGGCTTTCATTTATTTAAACCAGAGTAGCGAGCGAAACATGAGTGCGCTATTTCTCATTATTTCGTGCGGTGATCTATGTCCCCGTCCTTCTTTTCCAACTACACAAAGCAACAGGCTAATTTAGAGTGAATTTCTTACGCGTGTTGCCATATAACAAACTATGAGTCTATCACGTGCAGGGACGCCGGAACGATAAAAAGGCAAAGGGGAGCAGACGCACACCAAAGGGCACCTCTATAGATCAAAAGTTTGAAATTTACCTGAAAATTTTTTTTACATGAAATTTTTTTCGGCGACCTACTCCCCCCGTCGCCAAAAAAATTTCGGTCAGGGTACCATTTTAGGGGCCAAAATTTTTTTCCAGACATACCAAAATTTTTCGTGACGTAAAAAAATTTTTCCGGACATCAGCAATTTTCTCCATTTATCCAAATTTTTTTTCTAAAATCCAAAAATTTTCTAAAATTTTTGTAAATTGTAAAATAACCTCATTCTTTTCTAAATTCACACTTATTTTTGTAAATTAACTAATTTCTAAATTCACACTTATTTTTGTAAATGTGATTTATCAGGTAGTATTTTACAACTAAAAGGGCACTTCTGCCCCCCTTGTCCCCCGTAGCAAAAGGTAAGAGGGGCAGCTGCCCCTCCTGCCCCTCCAGTTCCGGCGTCCCTGATCACATGTATGCTTAAAGCTCACTTATGTTCACACTCAAAGAGTGGAGGTTCAATCTGAGCTTGCCTTGAGTGTCAATGCTGTTTTTGAATAACTGGTGGGTGAGTATAGTAGTCGCATTGTAAGGTACGATACTAACCATCCAGCTATTGAAAAACAGCATTGACACTCAAGGGAAGCTTAGATTGAACCTCCACTCTTTGAGTGTGAATCCAACACCATGGCTAGAAAGAGCGTCGTAGAATAAGTAAAACTGCAAAGACTGGTTGCTAAGTGTTGTAAAATGAAGAAAATATAGCCCTGTGAAGTTCGCAAATTTTGTATATATTTGCATTACGCGCGGGACAACAAGTCGCAACCAAACTTTGCAATTTTACTCATTCTAAGACGCTCTTTCTAGCTGTTGTGTTAAAGCTCTCCCCAATTGAGACTCTACATATGCACTCATAGATTTAATAGGCATGCATGCGTCCTAAATTTTCTCGAATGCACTCGAAACAGTGACGTCAAAGCCGGCAAATGTTATTCATTGTAAATGAGTAAAGACGTAAAAATCTTGCTTGTTAACAGAACAGGATGCGTTCGCAACAGGATTGTAGCAAACTTGTCAACAAGTTGTACAGGGGCGAAACTTGAGGGGGGTATTGGGGGGGGGGTGATACCCCCAAAATACGAATTATGCGGATTGGCAGGGCGAATTATCTGGATTGGCAGGGCAATCAAAGATTTTGAATGATAGAATGTAGAGTTACGAATAACTTACAGGGCTTTCAGAGGGAATTAAAAGAATTTATAGACCTAAATTTTACAGATATTGGTCCAAAAATAAGGGTTTCACCCATGTTTTAACAGGAATTTGTACGGAAAAATTTTTTGACCCTTAATTTAACTGGTTTATGTCCGGAAAAATATTTTGACCCTTATTTTTAATGTCGGGAAAAAAATTTTTCAACATTTTTGGGAAAAATAGTGGCCAGCAATAAAAATTTGCTGCAGGGCAGCATCGGTTTTGGCAGGGCAATTCTGGCAGACACCCCCCGAATTAAAAGGGGCTAGTTTCGCCCCTGATTAGTTGTAGCAATGGTTACAATGCTGTCATTTTATCAAGTTATGAAAATTGTATGAGAAATTAGCGAAAGTTTCTCTTGCTTTGCTGGGCAGAGTAAACAGAATGCTTAATTAGCTCATTGTATGATTTATGCATGCATTATTAAAGATACCGAATGTTTTCCGTGCAGGATTGCGTGATCCATGCACGAGGGATGTCGCCAGACTTTCGGAAAGCGCAAAAATACTCGAGCCGCAGGCGAGTGTGAAACTACAGTATAGCAATGACATTTTGAGAATCCCGCGAAGGCATTTTAATTTCTCGTGCAGGATAGCCTGATCCTGCACGGCTATTGACTAATCAAATTGCGTGTTTCACTGTAGTTATTATGTAAAACTTAATTCGCTGGCGGAGGAATGCAGTCTTCGAGTTGCCCTCTAATATTTTTCTTAAAGGACATTGGCAATAAAAAATTAGTACTAGTTTGTCTTATTCAAAATAACTCTTAAAATTATATATTAATAAACTCTATTACCGATTTGTCATATCTTGCTATAGTCCTCGAAATATTTAGACCGAAATTAATGAGCGATCCGCCATCTTGGACTAATTCTGGACCTCGTTAACTCTTAGTCATTAAGTGTGGTTTTGATGACTTTGGGAGTTGGGTTAACCATATAAAACTACTCTAAAATGACCGACTAACAATGCAAAATTGTTTGAAATGTTTTTAATTATTTCTAAATTTCAAACAGCAACCAGACACGAAGTTTTGGACCCATATTAATCTCTTACTCTCAAGATAAAAATTTAGCGTGACCCCTCTATTGACGTAACATGCATATCCTCAACAATCCAAGATGGCGAGCAGCTCACTTTTTTCAGTCGAAATATTTTGAAAACTAAGCAAGATATAAACCAATCTATAATAGCTAGAATTTGAAGAGTTCTTTCAAATTAACTAAACTTTAATTTTTTATTGCCAATGTCCTTTAAATATTAACCATGCAATAAAGTTGTTAAATCTCACCGGATGAAATCAACTGGGCAAAGCGAGCTAGCTAACTCATAAATTGTTTCTGTGTTCATAAATTGTTTTTGTTCGCAACCTGACAATGTTTCCTTTTGAGGTTAACTGGTTGTGGTTTTATTTTTGATTGCCATACAGCGTCGCTTGGTGAAATCAATGCATTCAACACACAAACGCCATGCAAGATTGAATAACAAGTTTTGAAAGTTAGGCTCTCTGGATTGGATGAATTTTTCGATAATGGAATCTTTGTACGCTGTACTGTTAATGGTGAGATACTACTGTTACTATTTTAATCTAACAATCAAGTGTCCGCATCTAGAAAGAGCATACTATAAAATGAGTAAAATTGCAAAGTTTGGTTGCGAAATGTTGTAAAATGCGGAAAATATAGTCTTGCAATTAAGTTTACAAATTTTGTATATACTTTTGTTTTGTATTGTGTGCGGAAATCACGAGACCATTTTCGACCCAAATGTGGTAGCAATTTCCGGACGCAATACAAAAGTATACAAAATTTGCGAACTTTGCAAGACTATTTTCCCGCATTTTACAACATTTCGAAACCAAACTTTGCAACCGGGAATATACTTTTTTGCCAACATAAATAATTAGTCTATTAATGAAAGTTTTTAAAATTTGTAACTGCTAGTCAGGGCCTGCCCGACGGATTTCTTTTGAAATCGATTGTTTTTACGGTATGAAAATATATGAATATAACCACACCCCCCCCCCCCCCA